GGAAAATATGTCGCCCTGCCCAGTAAGAGGTGAGGTGAAATGGGGTTTAGCGTCGCACTTGAGAATTATTCGCTCATATGACGACGTGCATGCGTATGTATGTGTGGCTGCTTGTACTAGCCCAAACTTAAGCTGGTTTTGTAGTGCTATCGCTCTGATATACCATGCCACAGTTAAGCATGAATACCCCACGCAGACACATTATATTGACTCAGAGCCGACCAGCCCTTGTTGTACCCATTAATGCCAAGCGCCAGGCAGGGACCAGCAAGTACCATATTTTAACGTCTTTTGGTATGACGCAGCCGGGGAGTGAACCTGCGACCTTCCGCTCTGCTGGCGGGCTTTAACTACTACACCACGGAGGCGGTCCCTGGTAGGAAGATGATATCAAGAAAAAACGTAGGTAGTGTTACATGTACAAATTATATTAATATCATGAAAGCTCGTGGGATAGTTTTACAAAGTTTATTGTTGTCTAGAGGTGTCAAAATGGCCCTTGATTCTGCTGTAAAATAAAAAAAAGTTATCTGGTAACACAAATGTTAAACTTCTGAACCTTAATGATACATTATCCCACCCTGCTTGCAGATAGAATGCTGATGATTTAAAATAGCTGCATCAATTAACCTTTGATTAATAGCAATAACAACTTGAAAATCCCCTTTTAAATAACATCATATGTCCTCAGAGGATTGGTTTGGGATGTACCCCTCAATAAGCGTTAGGTCCAGCTGGTTGTCATATATATCAAAGACCTGGAGGGATTCAAACATGTTGTATTGGATCGTGCGATACTTTGAGACATGATCATACAAAACCCTCAAAACATTCATCAATAGTAATCTCTGCTAAAAGTTTGATACCGACTGTATCATGTGTTCCCAAACATGACTCATATTTAACACTATCAATAGCATTCGGTAATAGGTCTGTAACCTGTCCAGTTACAGGTTCCGATCAACCAATACAAAAAAAAAACCACTTGGATAGATGATAATAGGAATACAAAGGGCTTCCAACACTATGTTTATCCTCATAATCGCAGACAACTCCATCCTCGATAATCTCCAGTGTATACGTTCCGATAAATCTCCACTAAGCCCTGGACGCATCTACGGCTCGGCCCGACCCGACGATTTTATTACCTCCCTTTGCTGGCTTTTTATCAAACAGGTGTCGCGTACAAATCACATCTTACTTTCGCTTCTTTTATCTAACCGATTAAACTTGGCAACATAATTGTTGCAGAGGTACTCTGAAAGAGCTAGAAGAGGTTCTTGCATATATTTGTTGAAGGTTTCAGACCTGTCAATTTGTCTGTATGATTTCCCCCAAAATCTGAGTCGCATTGTGAACAAACCTTCGCGGCTGCCACCACTATCTTTGTTGACACTGGCAAACTCAGTTGTAACACCGGCTTAGCTGATTGGCTACTGTGAGAATGCGGAGCCAGCAAAGGGAGGTAATAACATTATCGGGCTGAACCATAGATGCATCCAGGTACTAAAGTACTGTCGGAAATATAAAAAAAACTGTTTTTAGGCTGTTACTCTGTATCACTAAAATTTACACAATTGCAAGTAGCATATGTCAAAATAACCCACATCGGCCTAACTGGGCGCTCAGGGGGATGCGTAATAGGATATCCTGAAAAGCATGTTTACTCGTAAAATCGGGCAAAACTTACGAATAGCTGCTGAAAACAATAGATCAGACTATAAATGGCAAGTAGGTCGCTCAGCCAGGTATGACGACGGACCGTTGACTCACATTGCATGAAATGCACGTGCTGCCCACAGGCACAAGGGGTCATCTCAAAGATATTTTACGTTTTTTCATGTGTATTGAATATGACTCTATTGATTAACTTATCTTAGCTAATATCTCAGTTCCCCAGCCCGACCCCAACCACCGTCTGCGACACCCGTCCTGGTTTTGCTTTTGAGACGACCCCTCCTACCTGTTTCTCTTTATAGTGATAGTGAGACGCCATGGTAGCTACATCCTTAATAGTTTCAGTATGAAAGTTATTAATTTTTACGTCTGCTATCGTTTTTAATGAAGTCTAATTTCAAAATGATCATTTACAAAGTGTCCTTTGTAATACAATATCATCGCACACTAATTTGCATAAAGCCATGGTCTGTTCTGAATAAGTCGCATTGGACTGCATTGCTCATTTCTGCACTAATCTCTCCTCAGTAAAATCCTTCTGTTACGTTTCCTATCTCCCTCACACTGCGCCTGTAGTTAGGCCGAACTTAGCTTAACAGATATTTCACTTTTTCACACATTAACACATTAACTACCTAAATTGTAGATATAAATGTGAAAAAAACCCATTTTATTTCTATTTCCGACAGTACTTTAGTGGAGATTTATCGGAACGTATACCCTGGAGATTATCGAGGATGAAATATCTCCTGCTTACACTCAATTATTATTAAAGGATATTTATATAGCGCACACATCTACGCAACTAGTGCATGCTCAAGGCGCTGGTATTTCTTTCCCTCGATCATTGGATGTCAATCTCAACGGCACATCGTATTATCAATCTCAACTCCCTGGGGAGTAGTGCGAATGAAAGAGTTAATTTTACGCCCCACTCAGCAATATTCGAGCTATATGGCGGCAGTCTGTAAATAACCAAGTCTGGACCAGACAATCCAGGGATAAACAGCATGAACATCGATTTACGCAATTGGGATACGATGGAATGTGTCAACCATCCGATCCGTTAGTCGCCTCTTACGACAAGCATGGGTTGCTGAAACCCAGACCTTCATGGTCTCCCTGGGGAGTATACAGCTCCTGCAGCCACTAGGCGCACCGAGTTATTGTGGCTTTCTCATCCTAACGAGGTACCCATTCATAGCTGGGTGGACTGGGACACATAGTCACAGTACTTTGTCCAAGTTCACTGCACATTGCTGTACCCGCAACTGGGTGTTTGCTACGTATTCTTGTGGCCACTATCTGGTCATATACCAACAGATGGGTTCTTTAAAGTGCACAGGGCTGTGTACTGTACACTAGGGGTTGTGACAACACGGAAAGAATCTGCACACAAAGTTGACTCCAAGGTTTTGACACCCGGTCACAGGTGGGCTCGATCCCGACATTTCAACCTCGCTGGATCACTAACAATGGTAAAATGCACAATGTCATTTAGAACTTGGTCAAATGTGACACATGTTATGTTTCTGATTTCACTTTCTCAGTAAAGTACAGATTGTAGTTCTTGTGTTGGCTTGGGTCCCATCCGGGATTCGAACCCACTCTTTCATTGTCATGCTCCTAATTGCTAGCACACACATTCAGCCGTCTAACCCCCTCATCCATCGCTGCTAAAAAATGGAAGTCGCACAATTGGTAGTCTTCACCACGGACTTTGTGTACATCTCTGACAAGTGTAAATTGGCGTGGCTCCCACTGTCGAACGCTATGGATACACAATGTCATTTAGAAAGTATGGGTTCGAATCCCGGATTGGAATCAACCCTAACAAAAGTACTAGAATCTGTACTTTACTGAGAAAGTGTAATCCCAAATATAACAGATGTTACTCAATGGTAAAGTTAAACTGAAAGCATTCATAAAATAGCCAATAAAAGACCACATTTGCACAAGCTGGACACATTATAAATTATCCTTATTTCAGGATTGATAACATTGTGATACATTCATAAACAATTAAGTCTACGCTACGCTTGCTAGTACATAAAAAGTGTCAAAATATTCAAAATACACTCGAAATAATAAAATAGCCATGCGAAAAAACAGACTTCCCAAGTGTAAGAATACTACATCAGCTTATGCCCAGTAGTCTTAAACATATTACTAAACAAGGTCAAGGGCCAGCCTTCAAGCCCTTTTGGTTCCACACAAACTGTACATAGCGCTCTGATCCTCGCATGTTCTCTCTAAGTACTCGAAAAAAGTACTCAAATCTGGGCACTGCACGAACGCATTGCAAAAAGATGATATGCAACACTAATTGCGTGTGGCATTAAGACGGGGTATCAAAACGACCCAGCGACCGACGGTATCGGGTTGTCATGCTTCATTGATGTATGTCGTTGTGTCCATATTGAGAAGTTCGCTAGTCAGAACAATCACATGACAGTCCCCCACCGTGATATTGCTGGAATATTGCGTAAAACTATACTCACTCATTCACTATCTCGTGAACACAACACGTGCAGTACTCACATTTGCATGGCGTAAGAGCTAGAGCTAGAGCTGGCTATAATTATCGATTATTGTTAATGACTATCGATATCAAACTTGTGTTTTCGATAATATCGTAAATGAGCTTTGGAGAGAGACAATTTTTAAATTTTTGTCACACAATATACACATGTAGGACTTTATTCATGGGTTGCCTATAAACATGTGTTTTGTCTATTATCCATGCAAAAACATGTCACCACTCACCAGTGATGTGAAATATATTCATTTCTTTCAGATATTTTGCTCAAAGTTACGTCTCCGACATGTATCGATAATCAATCGATATTTAATTAACGATTATCGATCTCTATGATCTGTATCGATAGCCAGCCCTAGAAAGAACGTCCCAATAACGGACTTTTCCAATTTTTTATTATATCATATGATACATAATGGCAGTATGACTTATTTGACATAACATATGACTTTCTCCAGTACCTCAGGAATATACAAACACTATGTTTAAAGAAACAGTATTATGTAGTTTTGTAACGTTCTGACCATAGTAATTACATTCTTGTCACGTGATCAATCTTTAGTTTAGGACGACAGCACCTGTATTGTTTGTTATCAGCATGAGGTAATCTATATATTCGTCATCACTTAGGACGACAGCATCTATATATGTTGGCGTCAGCATGAGGTAATCTCATTGTGACGTCATCACTTAGGACGACATTATCTATATATGTTGGCGTCAGCATGAGGTAATCTCATTGTGACGTCATCACTTAGGACGACATCATCTATATATGTGTTGGCGTCAGCATGAGGTAATCTCACTGTGACGTCATCACTTAGGACGACATCATCTATATTTGTTGGCGTCAGCATGAGGTAATCTCACTGTGACGACATCATCTGATGCTTCATTGGCACCATGGTAGTGACAAATGGTGTTCTGCGATTCAGCGGTGAGTACAACCTCGAGAATAACGTAACTGACAATGGCGGCGGCCCACAGAAATATCGCTACATACAACTTGATTCTCAGACACAACAGCCGATCTGTGATGAGGACGAACGTGAAGCCAATATCCCCCATGGCAACAATACTAGCGAAGCCGGCCAGCTGCTGGTGCCCCCCAGGAAAGGTGATGGCGATCAGTGCTGAAAGTAGAGCAGGCACCATTGAAAGAAGATTAACCCTCAATAATCGAGTCTGGACCAGACAATTAACACCATGAGCATCTACGCTATTGGGACACGATGGCACGTCAGTCTGACCACCCAATCCCGTTAGTCTCCTCTTACGACAAGCATGGGTTGCTGAAGATCAATTCTAACCCGGATCTTCACGGGTCCCTCAACATCGGAAGTGTTTAACGGACGTTTATGATAAATATCCCTCCGTGTAGTTTTGCACTGACCATACACGGGAACAATAAACAGGAATAGCAATTTCCAAAGGATCACAATTCTTATGATAATACAATGATATATGTGACACCTTTTAAGTAAAAAGTTAAAAAACATATGCACATAAATTAGATCTCTAATTCCACGGAAGGTCCTCGTTGTTGTGTTCCTAAAAAAAACCAATATACCACTGTACGCATACATGTGATAACAATCAGTAGTTGTGGCATGACATATCAGTGACAAAAGTTGCAAGAGCACCCCGTCTGTCAGGTCCTGAGTGGCGTGCTTGTAACATAATATCAGTCAATCTATCGTGGATATCAAGAGGTGATATCAAAACATATCACGGATATCAAGAGAGAATTCCAACTACAAGGTACATCATACAAAAACAGAATTCGTTATCATTTTACGACAATGCGAGTGTTGCCTCTGGCAAGACCGATATCATGACCTCCGAATTAATTCAGTGCATTTCTCCATAGCTGAGTTATAATTTTGGAAGATTGTTAATATGCAGGGCTTGTTTGTACGAGCTATATGATGGACGTGTTAGACGTTGACAACTTTGTTGACGCCTATGATCACTGGCCCTGGGCTGACAACCAGGATTTGAACCCACGATCCTAGCACCCCTCGGGGACCTGTGTCTGGACAGCTAACTGCAGCTGCTCATGTAACTGTTAAAGGTAAAATTGTGGCACCTTACACATGATTTGGCTCTTCCAGATGCCGTCCCCGACTGCCCATATTGACGGCACTATAAACAGGAGGTACGTTTCTCCAGCCATCGGTTTCCATAGTAAAAGAGACAACAGGGTGACGAAGTCTGTGCTCAGGGTAATGGCCATGAGAGGTTTGCGGCCTGTGTATGTAGCGCCATGACCGAAGGTTACAGCGCAAACTGACGATATTAAGCCGCTCGTCATCATAACGAAGCCTACCATCTTCACACCGGCAGAACAGCTGACGAAAGCCTGAAATGAAATGTTTGTAATGTTTGTGTTGGAGAAAAAAAAATCTTTCATTTGTACAACCATATATTGATATTCAGAGACGAGTATAATTTTTCAAATTACCACGAATCCGTAATTTATTTCTTGTTCCATACGAGTAAACAGTACTTCCAGGATATTTATCTTAAGAGAATGGAGTTAAAAAACATTGGATAATCGATGTGTCCTACCTTAGTAAAGCCTGTGATCATGATAGAAGTGTTGACAGCCTGGGAAAGTTTCAAAGGAATCAGCAGAAGTAACGTCTTCTGCCTTAAAACACCAAAGCAAGCTGGTGGTTTCTCTATCACATTCTTTCGGTCGCTCCCTTCCATCTTCAGCGGTCTAAGGAACAACATGGTTACCAGCAGTCCGATCAACTGACACGTAAGATAGATTCCTAACAGAAGATTGAGAACAGGAGTGTCCGGACGAATGATCATTGTCGTCTTGTTTTCTATCCCTGGGCAATCGTCAGCTCCACAGATATATGCCTGCTTGAGATCTGATTGGTCAGTTGAACTCTGATGTAAGACAACAGACGAGAAAAGGTTCCCTGTCACTTGGGCCAAACTAAAGAAGGCAAAGAAAATCCCATTATGTTTGCTGAGCGAGCCATGATTATCTTCCTGCTTGCTCTGGCAGTCATATTTTCCCATTGTTGTGATGTACAGATGACGAGCAATCCACATGGGTGATAATGTAAGACCTAAAAGGACGGACGATGGCATCAATATCCACCATGTTGGATGAAAATTACTGAGGCAGTATAGACAATGGGCAAAGAAGGCAAGAATAAAGGATGTCTTTAACCCTACACATTGTATATACAATGGACCCAATAATGCCGTCACAATGCAACTGACATTTATACAAGAGAGGGAGGCAACTCCAAGTCCCTTATCCTGGTTGATGCTGCTCGCAATATTTAATATTCCCTGATAAGCGGTAAAGACTGCGAAGAAAGAAAAGGCGAGGACGATTGTGTTCTTCATGGGTTGCATGACCATGGGCGATGTTGATTTCCTTATAGGCTATGTTGGCACTGTGGAGGCTGGTTTTATTAGAATATGTTACTGGCGTTGACATTTAGTTTGTGATAGTCGCACAAGCATGGTGACTACAGGTTCACAAGATCCAGACTTGTCGACATCTGTAATGTAAATATGTTAGTAAATATACATTCAAAGCATCAATGTTTGACGCCAAAGCGTGGAACCATACGTGTTTCACTGAATCTTGATATCATGTTTGGCCTAATTTGTATCTATAATACAAAGCCATCTGTCGCCATGGATCGATGTTCGACGTCTCCTCCATATGACATAACAACTCGTGCTGTACGATTTCGTCGATGCAGTTGTGGTAATATGTTTGGAAACTGAGAATATGAGCGGCTACGTTTACTATAATGCATGAGGTATTAATCTGCATTTGCATACCATCCAAATGAAGGTGGCCTGGTACTTGGTCATTGGTGAAATCCGCCAGATCCAAACCCCTCACACTGACGTGCAAGTACAACATATGATAGCAACAAAAAGACCCAACCACTCACTTGTATAATATTCAACCTGTTCAGTAACGTGGCCTTTACGTGTGCTTTTGATAAGTGCCATCTGTTCGCGAACATGTCGTATCACCTTTTGATAGTAATTCATAAACACATGCTCACGATATAGTCGAAATCGTGGAATGGTTTCTGATCTTGGCGGATATACAAGGGTTATGTCGCTTTTATATATAATATTGGCTCTTCACACGAGATCCAAGCTGACTCACGTGTTTAATACTGGATGTCAGAGCACTACGCAACTGACTCTGACCCATTTGCATTATACAGCAGAACATGGTTACCACATTGACCATTTACTCATTGTTTGGTGACCTCAGGTTTTTGAAGCGTTAGTATCAAACCTTGTATAAAATATTTACGAAACCTTTACCCATTATGATGCATCGAACTAATGTCCATCTTCATCTCACAATAATACATCACACTGATCTCTCCATATATTCACTGCATAGATTTGAATGAAACAAACTGTCCGGCTCGCGCACACATACACACATATACGCACAGACACACGCACACACGCACGCACGCACGCACGTACACACACACACACACACACACACACACACCTCTATTAATCACGGGCTTACTACTTTTAACTGCAATTGAAACAGGAGAGTGGAAGTATTTACCTGTTGAACCACAAGCCCAGTGAACAGCTGTTCAGATGTGGGATCTGTACTGTGTGAAATGCCTGTGAATAATAGCTTCAAGTGAGTATTTTTGTATCGTGGCATACAGCCAGCTTGCCTTCTGAATCAATATGAACTCATAATGTAACATTTCGTTCAAAATACAATCAATCAAAGTAACACGTTTTATGGATCTTAATGGAGATGTGTCATGTTCAGTATATCTTTATGCCAGGGGTACAGGAACCGAGTAGTTACTTTGCCTCCTCGTCACATCGATGGATGCTGTTCATGCGGCTGTATATGTGGTGAATGGAATGGATTCTGTATCTATTCACACGTAGTAGCACTTATATGTTTGTAACATCAGCCATAAGCGCCAATCAAAGGATAAACGCGATGTGTGCGTTCGTGCCTGTGTCCAGGGACCTCATCTTTGTGCAGATGTGTTTAAAGGTGTCCTTTTTGGTGGAGCCGAGCTCGCTCAGAACAGGTATTCCAGTGCTTGGGAAAGAACTTTCAGAAAGTGGTTTGGGAAAGCGTTTGAGACACACGTTTTTGGATGCGCATCCGACAGCGCATATGGAAGGCATTGAGGTTCCTGTCTGTCTCACAGCTATGTGTTGCAGAAGCAGGCTCTGCAGATAGCAGCTTGTTGATCACCAACACACCCTTCTTCCTTCTGGCCGGGCCGGTGAATGCAATGCCGATCTGCCTGACTCTCACAAAGGACAGTTTGTCTATGACGGTGGAGTAGGTGAAGATGAACTGGCTTACAACCTCCAGCAAGTTGACCTTGATCGAGATCGTTTTAGGTTGTCTTGTTTAGGTATCAGTGCTGTTTGCTTTAGGTTGTCTTTGTGAATGGGGCCGTCTAGGAAAGGCATTTCCCTGAAGAGGTCCTCACATGCTTTGCCTACTGGCAGGCCCAATGAAACGGCTTCAGATCCGATCTTGTCAGGATAAAGGGCGGAGGGGTCGAAGGCTAGTTTCAGCTTGACCTTCGTCACCTCCTTCGATAATGATTTCTGGGTCAGCTCAGATATTGTCTTGTATACCATATACGTGAGAGGTGAGTTCAAACCATCTTTCCGTCAGCTTGCCTCTTTCACAGATACCTTTGCTCCTTGCAGAAATCATGACCATCGGCCTGCTTCGAGTTGGCCTAGATGTCTTCCTAACTGCCGTAATTGGATGACATGACAGTAATGGTCCTAATATTGCTGCTTTCTGTACATGGTTCGTGTTTATTCTGGAATCTTGATAGGTAAGCGTATTTTCTGCAACAACGTTCAAACGTGACTGGGTTGAGCTCACAGGAGTGGGCTACCAGCTAAACACGAGTTGTCATGAGGCGTCTCTCAGATGTTAGGAATCCCCTTGTGAAGGTTCTGTAACTCTATAGGTATGAGGTCCGGGCGACACTGATAAGCCAATACAATATGGACTCCGAGGAATGCTCCATCTTCGAGGCATTATGCTATTGCTGCCCCTACATCATATTGATCCTAATTACAGACCAATAGCATTATCGAGTTGTGTCTGTAAAACCATAGTAGATTTATTTGGTATCTAGAAACCAATAACTTAATCATAAATATTCCGGAAAGGTCAAAGTAAGACTGATCATTTAGTACGATTGGAATCCTTTGTGACAATGCTATTGTATCTAAACAAAACATAGTTTCAATTGTCTTTAATCTTGAGAATGTATGAGATACTACCCGCAAGCACGTCATTTTAAAGAATTTCCATGCTTTGGGTTTGAGAGGTCGTTAACCTCATTTTATATTACAGTTATTAACCTACAGGCAATTTTAGGGTGCCCCACAAGGCGCTATTTTGTCTGTCCAGCATGTCCTGCTTGACGCTATTGATGTTCTCATCACAATTATAATCTGTGATAGTCTGGTTGTTATACAGTCTTTCGATATATATTCTCAGTATATGACTTTTTGTCGTCGCTTTTGTCATTCTATTTAGTATTAAAATGAACAGTCCCTCAAAGGTTTTTATGATTCAATAGATGAATCACTTATGCCGACGATTTTAATCATTCTTGTCGTGGTAAAAACATACATGCAGATGAGAGGCAGATACAAATCTGTCTGAACCAAATTTACTTATGAGCTATTTCACATTTTCCAAATCTAGTAGGTTATAATTTTGCAGAAGGTATAAGCCTCATGAAGACCAAGAATCTTACCACACCTTATCAAAGCTGTAAATTAGGACAGGTTCTTGGGTCTTATTTTCGACTCTCATTTAACGTTTTTTTGTCGAATATTACGTACCTCAGAGCCAAATGCCTGAAGACACTCGATTTGTTTCAAAACTACCCCCGAACACGTATATAGGTCATTGGTCCGATCAAAACGTGATCACGACTCCATCGCATGAAGTGGGACCTGTACAATCAACCTTAAACTAGTAGATCTGTCCACCCCCAAGGTCTAAGATTTTGTCATTGAACATTAGAACTGTTCTTATTGCTTGTCTCACTGTCAATAATATCTGTGAACAATATCTTCTCGATTACCGGATAACAACTCTATTTTCATTGCAGAACCAACCACCACGGTAACAGTTCTTAAATATATCAATAGACACTCTCAATATAACCTATATATAATATCTGCGGACACGCTTTCGTGCCTTCAGGCTACTAAAATGTCTTTTGTAAACATCAACTTTTAATCGAAATTATTGAATTGTATAATGATCTTGCTACTGGCCAATACGACATCGTCCTCTGTTGGTTACTCAGCCATGTTGGAATTCCTGATAACGTCGATTATGCTGCTAGTGGGTGAGTTTAGTTTTATGCCGCTTTAAGCAATATTCCAGCACGGCGGGAGGGCACCAGATATCGGTCTCACACATTGTACCAAAGTGGGAAATTTAACTCGGGTCTTCGGCGTGATGAGCGAAAGCAAGTGGGACACTTAAATAAGTTACATAAACTTAAACCAACCATTGGTTACACCTACGTGGGCTGTCAGTCCAGATATGAAAAGATCATCAGTGGTCACAGTAGATATACATATGAATATATATTGAAAGGTGAGGATCCTCCGTTTTGCATCCCTTGAGATAGAATCGCGGTCAAGCATTTCCTGTTTGACTGTGTTGATTTGTCCATACAAGTGATCAATAAATCAATCTCAAAATGCTAACTGATCTATTTGATAAAGCTATTTCTTATTATTTCTTAGTTTTTTGAAAGAAATTGACCTGAAAGTGATATATTTTGATTTTGTGTTGCAATTTGTAAATGAATTTTGATTTGCAAGAGTGGAAAAAACTTTGTTAGTGGCAATATCCTCAAAAGGGTTTGTCCTCCTGCAAGGGTTGTAAATCCCACTTCCTTCAAAGTATTTGTTTTAATCGTAGAATATTTGTACTTTTAGAGTATAGCTTATTTGTGCAAATCTCGGCAACGGTTGTTGGAATGGCGTCAACTCCAGCTAGGGTCCATACAGGTAGCAAAAGTCCTCATGGGCCCGAGACTGGTTATCTTCCTTCAGTTGTAGGTGATCCATAGCCGTTTCTATTTTGGGTTTTGCTGATAGAAATCAAAGATGCTAGTTATAAAACGTCCTTCGTTGACAGGTTACTTATAATTTAAACTTATTTATCGTGAATTTAGAACTTGCTTGTTTTAGTCACTGAAATACTGCCCACGTGACATATAATCTGAGGCACCCGTGAAGAGCCACCTCCTCGTGGTGGGTGGCTAAGAGCTCTTCAACCCCCCGTTGTGGACCCGGGGGTATATTTGGTCCACCTACACTGCATTTTGGTGAATAGAACTCGTCCGCCTCCGAAGACGCTCAATCCTTCATTCGTTTTGTTTCCATAAAGTTGAGACTGTCCTCTGAATGAGAAATCCTTCCTCCGACCGATCAGTCCTACCATGCGTAGTTACTGACAATTC